CTGGCTCTCCGTTTGTATACAAAAGTGACATAAAATAATATAACTGGCTGTGTTTAACATTGCATCCAAGAAACAGATTCTACAAATTCCACAGGTTTTTTTTTTACCATTTGCAAACAAGCTCAGATATGTGCTAAAGAAAGCTCACTAAGGGAATTTGAAAATAAGGAAGCAGGGGACATTTGATTGGGTCAGGGCTGGGGCAGAAGTTCAATAAGTTGGTGGTTGGCAAAAATGTTCTTTATTTGTTCTGGATTGTTGAACGAAAGTATGTGTTAGTAAGCACATTTAAAACAATGGGTGATATGTTAGAGGTCAGAATTTGAGCAAATAAGTATGTAGATGGAAAAAATGATGGAATTCCAGAAAAGAATTGTTGAAATTTAGAGCTGTGTGGTCAAACTGTACAATGTGAACTGTTATTTAAAAGTTTACAGTGAGGAACAGGATACTTATCTGCTGTTTCATTTATCCTACACATGACACAGTCCATTATGGACACATCTGGCCTGAAAAGGTAACTTTTCTTCTTCGTGATGGGGTCTCATTCCTTTTTAATAGGAGACATAATGCAGGGTATTGTTTGATTAAAAATTGCTCTGAAGTATGTGTTCATTAAAAACTGTCTGAAAAGTAACTGTGTGGCACAAGATTTGTGTAGGAAAGGATTTGTGCTGATTCTTGAAATAAGATCAGCCATAGATAATTAAAATCAAACCTATAGTGAGTGCAATCATTCCACAGACGATAAAAAACCCAAAAATAAAAACTAGACAACACAAAAAACATTCTTACGTTGGTGCTCATTAACTCCACCCAAGAAAAATTAAAATGGGTCCTTATTTCAGACCATTTATGATGAGTCTTGGTCTTGAAGCCACCATAACAGAAGGCAGAGTGACCACAGGCTTAAAATGTGATCTAGTGAGTGTGCATGCCCATCGATAGCATAGGTGAGGACTATCAACAATGACTAGAGCAAACTCTAAAGTGACATTTCATAAGAAATTCAAAGAGAATGTCAGATTTAAGGTCCATATAGCTGAACTGGAAATATTATCTAAGTCAGCTATGCTTGGAGATCGGCTACTCTGGTGTTAAATTTGACGTTCATTTTGAATTCACTCTGAATTATCATTTTAGAGAATAACCCTTTTTGGAATCTCAATAACTTTGCCATATTTATATAAGGTTTTAGTGAATAGTTTATCTCAAACTGCCTATGTAACACACATCTATACACCTTAGTACA